TACTTAATTAATAGAAAATCATGTCATTTAGGTAAATGTCATGAAAATGTGATGTTAATCTTTTTCTAAATCTTATAGCTAAGGATTTATTTAAATAATCCAAGAAGGAATTAACAAATGAAGCAGGTATTGCAACAACTCCTAATTTCAGTATTCTCTATAAAAACATATTTAAGTTTTATTCAATGATTGCTCTGACTATTTATCCATTAACATTAGCTACATAGATACTTAAAAATGTTCTTGCTACTAATGATGCTCTATTAATTTAGTAGTATATGTTACGTAAGTAATATTAAGTCTAGAATTTCTGGTGAGTTTAATCTTGGAATAACTATTTTGATTAATTTGAAAATCCTCTTTAAGAACATGCGATCAACATTACCCTTTCCTTTTTTTTCATCTCTCTTAACTTTCATATTTTCAGTCTTTGATTTTGTCAATCTAATTTTAAGTAAATATAGAATGACTGCTATAATAGCTCCTGAGATCACCTAATTGAATTATTAATTTGTTCATACTTTTCGCTTTGTTGATTTCAACATAAACTATTTTACATCTAAGATCTTAGATAGCACAGGAGGCATCTATATATATTATTAATATTATCAATAAATATTTAATATGTGCTTATAATTTCATATTGTTTTAATATTTTCTAATTCCAATTACTTTTTCTCTAATTTTCCTAAAAATGTATACTAAACAAATTTCATATTATCATCATAAATCTTATAAATAATATATATATTTAACATATGTATTTATAAATTATTGCAATATTGAATCTATTGACTCTATCCTATTAGTTTGAACCAGTTTGCAATAAAATATTGTCAAAATAAATACATGATTCTTTACCTGTTAACTAATATATACTATCAGGTTAATTTCCAGTGAAGGATAATTCTCATTCTTATTTAGCTTTCATATTCTATGGATCATAATATGCATCAAACTTATAAGTAAAATTATGTATGTAATTATGATAGCAATTAAATAACTATAATACAATTGTTTGGTTCAATGGAGGTCCTGGTACTTCATCATAATTAGGTAATTATTTTGGTTTGGGACCAATAAATTTTAATGAAAAAGAGAAATTAGAGAAGAATTAATATTCTTGGAATACTAGATTTAATATGCTCTTTGTTGATTAACCAATTGGAGTTGGTTATTCATATGCTTATACAAAAGATGAAATACCTAATAATTTGGATGAAATAGCATCATAATTCAATTATGCTTTGAAATCATTTATATAAAAATGTTAGCTTTAAGAATTATCAAAAGAATCAAAATGGTTTTTTGCAGGTGAAAGTTATGCTGGAAAATATGTACCTGCAATAGTTTATGATCTTTTAAAATAATAGGAAACTATTGTAAACGTTTAAGGAGTTATTTTAGGTAATCCTTGGACTGAACCAATATCTATAATAAGTGAAATGAGTTCATATGCATTTAATTTAGGTTTGATTGATCTTTAAGAAAGATAAAAATTAGATAAAATCTTATTAAAAACATTAATCAATATTAAAAATAATGAGTTCTCAAAAATAGCTGATAATATATAAACTTATTTAATAGAATTAACAAAAATGAATGGAGGAATGAATTATTATAATATTAAAAAGTATGGATCATATGCTAAACAAAATTAAAAATTAGAATCATATTTGAATTCTGAAATAGCTAAGAATTTATTTAAATTTCCATTAGCTGTTACTTTCAAATTAACATAAAATTAAATAGAATAATAAGGTGATGTTTATTTGGCCTTAAAAGATAATGTTGGATAGAATGATGTAATTAATAAATTAGAATACATTATTTCAAAATTTCCAGTTTTTATTTATAATGGATAGAATGATGCACTTTGTACTAATTCAGGAACATAAAGATGGGTTAATAGAATTAAATATTAAGAAACAACTGAATTCATAAATTCTAATTTTACTACTATTTAATTTAATAATAAAACTATAGGGTATTAAAAAAAAGTTGGAAATCTTGGATTTGCTATAATAAATGATGCTGGTCATTAGGTTCCAAGGGATAAGCCTTAGGAATTATTCACTATCATTAACGGATTTATTGATGTATGATTAATTTATTTATTTATTAAATTCTTCGTTAAATAATTTCTAGAAATTAATAGAAAAATCTATTTCGAGAAAAATTGATATTTTTGAGTTGAAAAACTTTTCAGTCTGTTCAAGTCATTAAAAATATCTTATGGAAACAGAATTCACAAATTTAATTGAAGATGGTGGAGTTAAGAAACGAATTATATAAGAAGGTTAAGGAGATATACCTATTGATGGATCAAGATGCAAAATATTATATAAAGGAACTTTAGATGATGGAACTGTGTTTGATTCTTCATTAGATAAAGAGAATCCTTATAAATACACAATAGGAAGGGAGGAATTAATTAAAGGATTTGATATTGCATTAAAATCAATGAAGATTGGTGAAAAAGCTGAATTGAAAGTCACATCAAATTATGGTTATGGTGATGAAGGAGATACATATAAAAATGTTCCTAAGAATGCTAATCTTACTTATGAAATAGAATTAATTAATTTTAAATAAGCTAAAAAGAAGAGATGGTATTTAAAATTATATAATTATTTAGGGAAATGACTCCTGAAGAAAAACATTAAGAAGCTATTAATAAAAGAACAAAAGGAACAGCAACCTTTAAATAATAAAATTATAAAGAGGCTTAGAAGATTTATAAAAATGCTCTATCTTATTGTGAATTAACAACTGAAGAGGGTAATGAATTAAAAGCTAGTTTATAACTTAATTTATCAATTTGTTGTTATTAATTAGAAGAATATAAAGATTCAATAGATTATGCTAAAAAAGCCCTAGATTTAAAGACTAATCAATAATAAAAATTAAAAGCTTTATATAGAAAAGCACTTGCTAATATTAAAATAGCTGAACTTGAAGAAGCATTAGCTGATTTGAGAGAAGCTTTTAAAATAGATTCTACTAATTCTGCTGTAATTGAAGAATTGTCAAGAGTCAAATAATTAATAAAGGAAGCTAGAATTAAAGAAAAAGAAATTTATTCTAAATTATTTTAATAAAAACTTTATGATGAATCTGAAATTGAACCAAAAAAAATAGAGATAAAGGAAACTAAATCAGAAAATTCAAGTTGTTGTGATCAAAATGAAAAAAATGAAAAAATTGAAGAAGAGACTTAACCTAAAACAACTATAGAGAATAAAGATGCATAAATATAAGAAGAAAAACCTGAAGAAAGAGAATAATCAAAAATAGAAAATAATGATAATAATAAAATAGTTGAAGAATCAGCAACATCTGCTTGATATGAAATTTAATTATATATATTAATATCATATTTATTATATTTTAAATGATTTATTATTAAGATTATCTTATATCTTAATTATAATCAATATAAATCATTTAATATGAAAAGAGAAAGAGACAAAGTAGAATTTACCATATTAACTACAATTTCATATTTGTTATAGTAAAAGCTATATAATCAACTTATAATAATTTTTTATATCATTATTAAAATATGAATTGGTCGAATGTTACATTTCATCTTTTAAAATATGAATCTGTGAGACAAAAGGAGAATGAATTTGAACAATAATAATAAAAAACTTCACTTAACAATAACTCTTTCTCGATTCCTACAAAATAAGAATAATTATAAGAAAAAATTAGATGCAAATCTGATCAATGTGATGAATTTGGAAATTACTCGAATAAATATAAGATTTTTCATGATCTTATTGTTGAATTTCCATAACATAAAAAATAAAGACTTACCTAAATAATCGTCTAAAATTTAAGTATTAGTTTTCTTATTTAGAAAAAAATCCAATCTCCTTTCAATAAAATTCTTTTAGAAATATTGTTGTTAAATCATAAGGACCATAAAATAATGTCATAAGCACTTTTAATAAAAGATTAAAAGATATTAAACATTAGGAATAAGAAGTTAATTTGGATAGTAAAACTGGAATGGATTTACATAATAAGAATGTCTAAAAAATTATTAAATAAGAGAAATTTTCTAAAGTTGAGATTGATCCTAGCATTGAAACTATGCATACTGGTATCTTTAGTTGCTCTCCAGGAGAAAGTCCTAGAGTTAAAGCCTTTAAAAGTACATTCACATTATATTATAGAAACAACTAATAAATTTATTTTAAAATAAACTCTTTAAAAAACTAATATTATTGATAAAATAATATGTGAGAGTAAAATTAATTAAAAAACAACTTATTCTCCTAGATCAATAGTGAATCATTAACATAAAAAGACTAATTCTAGTGGTCATTCTGCTTATTCAGAATAGAACAAATTTCTTCGTAGAATTATCGGTAATTCTCTCTTTATAAAAACTCTAAATAAGTAATTATGACCTAATTAAATTTATGTATTGTTTCTAATCATATATATTTATTATAAGAGATGAATCTTATTTATCAAAAATATATTAAATCTTATCTTAATATTTATTTAAATTTCATGCTAACCTTAATTAATTCCCTTTGTTCCTAAAGAAAGAAGATAATTGATTTAAAAACAATATATTTAAGTAATATTTAAATATAAATTATATGTATTAAAAGATTTACTTTAATAAATAGATATCAAAAGATTTTATGATTTCAATGTCTCCAATCTATAATTCAAGAAAATTATACTTTTAGATTAAGTGTTTATTGAATTATATAAATGAAAAATACATGTTTTCATTAATTGATCAATGATATCATATATTCTATTTCTTTATTATAATAGTTTAATTGAATAATTAATACGTTTACTTTTAATAAAAGAAACATAAATTAATTAATTTTCTATAAATTGATAATATGAATCAATTTAATTAAGATAATTTATCATTATTATATTTTATTACGTAAGTTTTATTTTGCTAATTAATTTTTTGTATTTATAAATTATGAAGATATTTTACTATTTTATAATATTTAAATATGAAATCATTCATCATCTTAATTTTTGCTTATTTAGTGTTTTCTAATGCATAAATTGCAAACAAACATTAAAATGAGGCTTATCTAATCACTTAAGGGATCTTTAATGCATTTGGAATTTAAAATGAAATAGATATTACTTAAGTATTTTCAAAAATTGAAAGTAAATATTACTTTGAAACTCTGTAATCTGCTGTTAATCTTCAAGAGTAACTTGATGAAGAATCACTATTAGAGGGAATAAAATTGATTGGAGTTGCCTTACAATAGATTCCTGATTCAATTGACAGTTTAGAAGAATAAACATAAGAAACAATAATTATATCAAGTAAAATTTTTCTAAATTTCTTAAAAGAAATACTCAATAATTTGTTGGAATAACTCAGAAATCCATTGAGATTCCACTTCCAAGACAACATTGAAGTCTTTATTAATGGTGTTAACATTTCTTAAGATTTAGGTTAATTCATATTTATAATATTAGGTAATTCATTATAAGAATGGCAAAGTGAGAATTATGAAGAGTATGGTAAGGATATTGGTACTGTTTTGATCAAATTAATGCTTAGATTAGAAAATTTAGAGGCTGTGATACATGATTCAACTATTATCTTAATTATTTTTGATGGAGTTATGGATGGAATTTTGGATGCAAGTGGAATAAGAGGTTAAGACATCAGATAATGTATTGATGGAGTTAATATTATGGTTATTGATTTTGAAGAATCTATTAGACTTCTTGAGACTGGTTTACCAAGTAATGTGATATAATCACTTTAAATCTTTGGGGATGGTCTTTAACATTTCCCTCAAGCATTAGATTAATGTAAGGCCTCAATCAAAGAAGCAGCAAAATTAGCTAAATAACTTAGGGATTTAATAAAGGCTTTATAAAATCCAGTGTCATTTGCTTTTCATATTGGAATAGATCTTATTGTAAATGGTAAAGATATATACAGAGAAGTATGAAATAGTTTAATAAAATAGATTTTCACTGCAGTTGATGACTGGAAGTAAGGAAATTGGAATGATTTTGGATACCAATTAGGTAAAGCCATGTATTAAATCTTTGTTGGTTAACAAGATTATAAATCTTGATAATGAAAATGAAATTATATTATCCGTCACAAATCAAAATATAAAATAATTTTCATATATATATATATGTAATTAAACTAAAGAACATAAGAACAGATAGAAAATAAAAGATGCTGAAAACTAAAATTTTGATTTAAAAAATTTAATTTTTTAAATTATTTAATAATAAGAAGTGAACTAAGAAATAGAGAATGAAAATGATAAGATAGATATATATAAATTGAGAATGATAATAAACCTAAAAATAATTATATAAAATAAGATTTGTATAGTTTTGTTTCATACAAGATGATAGATTATTTCCTAAAAATTATATAAAAAAATAATTAATTGAAGTGAAATTATTTAATTATAAAATTATAAATACCAATAGTCAACTGATCTATGTTTTTTATTTCATTTTTTAAGAAATAAGCTTGTATGGTTATGCCATTACTTTCTTTTATTATTTGATATTAGAGTTCATAAATAGTCCTTATTTTGGAGGTGATATAATTTTAACTTCTTGTGCTAATTGAGTAAAATTCTTTTAAGATTTATTTTTTTTAATTGCTTATTGAAAAGATAAATCTTTGGGACTATTTGGTTAGAATTATGGTTAATATTTGATTTCTTTAGCAATAGAATTTGTACCAAATAGTTAATCTTCAATCTTTTGATCAACTATAAATTCTTATTTGTTTCTAATAATAATTAAATATTATATAAACTTATTATTGTTTAATTTCGAGAAAAAGCATTTTTATACACTTTCATTTTTTGTACACTCTTTAAAAGCATTTACATAATTACTTTGAGCTCTTTAATTTTAAATGCTTTTATCTTCTAGCATTTTCTTTTCGGAACCACAATTTTTGCATTTAGGTGATAAATAAGAGATTTCATAAGTGAAAAAACCCAATTTTTTTTACTTTTTTGGCTTTGTTTAAACAGAAGCATCTTAAATAGAAATATTGGACATCTATGTCTTGATTCGATCTTCCTATGAGTCATTTTAAAATCCAACTGAACAATCAGTTTTAAGAAGTTTTTTATATTTAGAGTGGAAATCCTCACTAAAAATTCTAATATTTTATACTTATTATTAGCATTAGATTTAGAATGATTTAATTTTGTTGATTTTAAAATGTTAGTATCCACTAGGTTAAGGAGATTAGAAAGAGCAGTTTTGGAAATATTATTTTACGATTTGAAGTGTCTAACAGTTTTAGTTTGATGGCTATCAATCAAATAATCATTAGGTTCAGTTCTGAAATTAGGTTAGTTTTCTAACGAGCTTTGATAATAATGCATGCTCTCAAATTGTGAATCTATCATTTGTAACAAACCTTGAACTTTTTAATCATGTTTTTCCTCAGGTGACAACCTTTAAAACATTTACTAAATAATATATACAACTATTATTATCCATCTCTGTTTAAGCAGTGCAATTTTTTGTTTGGAGAATAGACAGTATATTTCATTTAGCAATTCAACTGAAAAAATATAAAATTTATTTAATAACTAAAGAATGAAATGAAATTCCAAATTATTTTTAATATAAAATATTACTATCTTATAAATTGAGAATATGTCTCATCATATTTAGAATAAAGCATTTATTAACAAAAATATAATTACTATATAATCTATTAATAAATTAAAAAAATCAATTTATCATTATTATTTAACTTTTTTATTTACATTATCAAATTCTTCTATATCTTATTTTTTTGTTTTTTTCTATAAATTTTATTCTTATTCTTCTCTTCTTTTATATTTTAATAACATTTTTCTTCTTTTTATCTTTCTTAATTTCTCTATTGCCTTATTTGTCTTTGATACTAAAAATATATTATATATTATTTTACCAACTCTATTATAAACAACATTTCCTTGCATAAATCCTTCTTCTATTTTATAAAGCTTTAATTCCAACCTAGGTCCGACTTCATGTAATCTTATACTCATTTATTATTTATTATGTTATTTATTCTCAATTTCTAATTCCTCTAAATCAGATTATTCTGTATCTGAGGCAAACATTTAATGATTGTTTTATAAAAAGTCAGAAAAGCTATTGTATTTAGATAAATTTGGTAATTTATTTGCTTTTATGATTTTTTTCATTTTTTTGTCTATTCCTTTTAAATTAAAACTAATGTAATAATGTCTAATGTAGATCTTATCATTTTTATAAGAAAACAATATAACTCGCTTTTATGTTTTTGGATTAGTATTTTGAACATTAATAGCTGGAAACATAGATTAAATCATATTCCCTACTAATTTAATATGCTCACTAGTTGGTTTCTAAGGATCATCTGTCTAAAAGTCAGTTTGAAAACCATTCATCACAAGTAAGGGAGGTGAGAACACTCTAGAAAATGATTTGAACTTCCTTTAAGCATTGAGAACTTCATTTCTATTTGCGTATTTAAGAATACGAAATGTAAAAGTTGGTCCCCTTGGATTTTAAATAAATCTTATGTATGAATCTAATTAATATGCATTTTGCAATACTCTTATTAGTTTATGTCATTATAATCATATGTGATATTAAATAAAAGCCAGCTGCCTTAATATAGTCTTTCATTTTAGTTTTATCTGATTCTTATAAATTCATGCTTGTGAAGGGATACATAACATCTCTGTAATCATCAATCAATTGGCGAATAGTTGCTGAAACTTTTCCTCTCTTTAATATGAATGCTTGGGAATATTAATTAAACTAAACCTTTTGGTGTTTATCCTATCAAATCAAGATCCTCTTCTGTTGCTTCTTTATGTGTTCTTGTTTTTTTCTAATTTAATCATTAATATTCATTTTACCCTTCTTCCTCCAACTTTAGGCATTAATTAAAAATAATTAAAAATTTTTATATGAAAAACCAACAAAAAATAAACACATGACTTTCATTATTCTTGGTAGTACCTTAATTTTTCTAAGTAAATATTGTAAAGTTCTTTCGAAATAAATAAGTCATAATTTAGTAGTTCTAGCAATTCTGATTCCAATTAGTTTAACTCCTTTAAAGAGATGCCTGCTATTTTTGAATAATAGTCGTTTCTGTAGTAATCATCATCTTAAAATTTGATGGCTAACACCAATGCAATCATTAGAAACCTAATTCACATGATTTACATACCTATGAACACAATGGCTATTTAACAAAATATCTGGATTTAATTCTTAAACTTTATCCAAGTAAATCATGGCAATAACGAAACATTCATCTGTGCATTTTGCATATTTTGCTATACGAATTAAATAATTTTCTAATGTAATTGCAGGTATTTTCGAAGCATGAAAAGGTGTTGATTAAGAATCTAACTTGTCCGTTTCTTTAACTATATCTTCCAGTATTGTTGCAATGCATTTTAAGATTGATGGTTATATAGTTCTTTCATGATTCCTCACATTAACTTGTGTGCTTATTTCTGTCATATTATATTTATATTACTAATATGCTTATTTTTAAAAATTAATCAAAATCAAATTAAAATCAAATTCATAAACCTCTTAATTAAATCTGATGCAGTGTCTTTATTTAGTTATATTAATGAGATTTCTTTTAATTTCTATTAATTCATTAATTTTTTTAATTTTGTCAATCTAAATACTAATACTATAAACTTTTAAATAATACATCAATATAATTTAGTATTAAAAAGCATAGTATTATCTCATTCTCTGAATACTTAAAATTATAATATAAATAGATTATAAGAAATTTGAGGATTTCTTTCTCTTTTTAATAAACTAAAAATATAACTATTTTTAGAAATGATAAAAAATTAAGTTTAAATAAAGTAAATAATTTACGATTCAATACATTAATCTTATATAAATTTTTCTTATAGACTAATAAGATACAAAAGAATTAATAATCTTTACTGAAATACGATTTTATAGTATCTTTTAATTTTGATAAAATAAAAGTTTTTATATGGTTTAAAAATAAAGTGAATATATTTATCAGCATCTAATGTTAGATAATAGAGGTAATCAGGTAATAGATTTAATAGGTTTGAAGTAGAAGGACTTCAAAAAACAAAAGTTTTCAAAAAATATTTATAAATAAGACATAAATTAAAAATAATTATTTTAGTATTTTAAGTTTCTGAATCACTATTAAAGGTATTCAAAATATAATATAACAAACCAAATAAAATAATATTAATTTGATTATTAAAATATGTATTATTATTATATTAATAATCATTTTTATTAACCCTTCATATTTTGATATTTTGTAAAATCTGATTTTGAATATCCTTAATACTATTTAGATTAGATTTTTTAATCATTCTCATAATTTTATTCGTTAAAATTATTCTTTTATGAATTAAATTACCTATCATTTTAAATTGAATTCATCTATTTATTGTTTTGATATTTATCATTACCAACAAAGTTTCTTTCATTAAAACTTTTATCATTTCCTCCTGTGAAATTTCTGGATGCTTATGGATTAATAAAATTACGTTCATTATTACTTCTATCAAAATTATTTTGATTAGAATAGTTTTTCTCTCCATTATTATTGAAATTTCTTTCATTATTATTTACTTTGAAATTTCTTTCATTATTCTATCTTTCATTATTATTTTTTTCATTATTAAATCTTTCATTATTAAATCTTTCATTATTATTTCTTTCATTATTAAATCTTTCATTATTATTTCTATCATTATTAAATCTATCATTATTATTTTTCTCTTTATTAAATCTTTCATTATTATTTCTATCATTATTAAATCGTTCATTATTATTTCTATCTAAATAGTTTCTTTCATTATTAGGTTTATCTACAAAATTTCTCTCATTATTGTTTCTATCAAAAGTGATTCTTTCATTATTATTTCTATCAAAAGTATTGATTGGTCTTTCATTATGATTATTAAAATTCTTATCATAATTTTTCTATTGATTATGATAAGGTTTTTCATTTTTCAATTAATTAAGATATTTATCATTATAAAATTAAGTTTCATGATTATTATTTTGTGTATTGTTATTATTTCTCCTATTTTAATTATCATTTTCACTTCTAAAATCCATATTATACATTTTTTAACCTTAATCTTAATCATTAAATCGTTTATTCTAAAAAGAATTAGTTTTATCTTCTTCTTAAAACTATGGCAATAATTTATAATTTTTTAAATCTAACTCTTAATTATTTTCTTAAGTTTTAGTTTGATCAGCATCTGAGAATCTCATTCTTACATTTCCTTATCTTGAATCACCTTAATTTTTTTAAAGTTATTGTTATTAAGGCTATCGATCTTATTATTATTTATTTTTGAAATCCATATTATAATTTCTCTACTATTGCTATTAATATTGCTATTATTCCCCCTTATTCTCTTCATTGTATTCACTTCTACTATGTTTATGGTATGGTTTTTTTTGATTTCCTCCTTAATTAATATATTATTATCTATTTTCCCATTAATTACTATTATCTTATTTATATTCTGAAGTCTAAACAAAATTATTAGGAGGGTAGATTGAATTTGAAATGTTAGTTTGATTTGAATTGTCTATATATTATTAGAGTTTTTTATGTTATCTTTCTTATTTGATTTTTAGAGCTTTATCTTTGAATTCCAATAATTCTTAATTGACCTCCTGATTACAAGATGTTAAATAAGTGATGACTTAATCAGCAAGAATTCCTTCATCTTTTTCATAAGACAACAATGAGAAACTTCTACCATGAGCTCCTGCCCTTCCAGTTCTACCAATCCTGTGAATATAATCATCAAAAGATTTAGGGAAATCATAATTTACAACAACAGTGATATCTTTTACATCTAAGCCTCTAGATGCTATATCAGTAGCACATATTAATCTAGTATTAGAATCTTTAAATTATTTCATAATTGCATCTCTTTGATCTTAAGATTTATCTCCATGTAATGAAATACAAAAATAACCTTATTTTGTAAGACTTTGACTCAGATCTTCACACCTCTTCTTTGTTTCTGCAAAAATTAAAACCTTATCTGTATAAATCAAATCATCTAAGACATTCATAAGAACATGCAACTTTTCCTTTTGTCCTGTGCATATAATCTTTTAAGTAATTGGAGCACCTTTCCCAATCTTAACTAATATGGGATTGTAACAAAACTCTTTTGATAATTATTAAACTTCATTAGGCCATGTGGCTGACAATAATATAGTTTATCTATCCTCTCTTATTGTAGAGACTATATCTCTTACTTGAGGTTCAAATCCCATGTCTAACATCCTATCAGCTTCATCTAATATCAGCATTGAGATTTTATTTAGATTTACCATCCCTTCTTCTATTAATTCAATTAGTCTTCCTGGAGTGGCTACAATTACATGAACTCCCTTTTAAATTAATTCCACTTATTATTTTTTATTTGGGTTGCCACCATAAATGCAAACAATCTTAAGACTCATTAAATTTGGACTATTCTCTTTGTCATTCTATTTCTTATTTCCATAATAATATTCAATTAGTTAAAGCAATTAATCATAAATTTATACTCCTAACTCTCTTGTTGGTACTAAGATAAGGAGTTTAGGTTAAGTAGACTCTTTAACCATTGCATGTTGTTCTAGATGCACAAGAGCAGGTAGCAAATAGGCTAAAGTCTTACCTGATCCAGTTTAAGCAATTGCTAAAGCATTTCTACCAGATAATACAATGGGTATGACTAAATGCATTATTCAAATACCTTCAGATTAGATAGCAGTTGGTTATTGAAATTCTGGTGGTCCTAATGGAAAATGTCTCCAATCTAAAAAGGGCTAAATTATCTAATTATCTTATTCCCCATTTCTGATTATTGTTATATTATTGTCAGACCTAAATTTTTCGATATCCTCTTGACTGTATTGTAAATTACTTGCCTATAGATTAAATTCTCATAATTGATTACATCAATGAAACATTTAGTAAAGTCTTCAAATTCTCCTGGGCATGATGCAAACATACCTAAAGGTTGGCTCCATCTCTTTAGTCCTTTCATTATTTTAAATATTGTTAGCTAAGTTTTTCCTTTTAATAATTGGCAATAGATTGGTATTATTTATCTAATTATAAATTTTAATAATCATTTTAGTATTTAGATGAGCATTTTTTGATATCTTGTAATAAATGCTGGAATAAATTCTTTTTATTTGTTATTTCCTCTAATATATATTTATTAAGCTTTCATGAAAGGTTCTCTCTAGGATGATATAAACTTCTTAACATTCTAATTGACTTCCTAAATAGAAAATGACTGAGTCATTCTGAAATCTACTTGCTATTAAAGAGATTATTTATATGTTGAATTCTCCAATATTTTATGATTGAAAGAATACAAATCCTTATTTTTATGGTATTTTTCAGTAATTTCCAAAATTCTTTTTGGTAGTTTTGGTTGCTTTTTTATTTGTTGATTTAATATTAAGGTTTACTCATGATGAATCAAATTAAATTCACTAAATTCTTTTGTTTTAATAATTGATTAGATAATCTCTATTGGATTGCAATTATTATATTTGATGAATTTTCGATCATCGTAATGTTTACCAGTTGCTATATTTACAAAAGGAACACTAATTGACCCTTATATTGAAGACATAAAATCAGTTGCCTTTGTTGGTAATGTTCTTTCAAACATTTAGATAAACTCTAAAGCTGTCACTCTGTAATAAGATGAAGGTTCCTCCAAAAATCCACTTGACCACTTTTAATGATAGAACTCAGCTCGTTCTATATTACCTTAATAGAAATATGCTAATCCCATGGCATCATAACATTATATTTCTTCATCATGATAATAATAGGCCCATGAATACATTAAAGCTTTTTGTATCAAAATTATCTATTAGTCAAATAACTTAAACCTTTTAATATAAAATAGTTTACTATTTAGCACATATTGCCATAGAAAGTAATGAATTAACTTTTAATTTTGGGTTACGAGATAGATTTGATAATGTGAAGCAATCTTTTAAAAAATATGTAGCCTTTGTATATTCTTAGCAATCAAAAAAGAACTAAGCTAATAAATAGATCATATGTGAAAATAACTCTACTAACTAAATTAATAGAGTGGTTTTATACATTTTATTCTTGTGCCATGAACATTGGTTTCTAAAATAAAATTATCATTTTTTCAGCATCTTTTCTTCTTATTAAATCTTGAAACAATGAGGAATTCTCTTCAAAGTAAAGTATTATATTATAACGTTTATCTAATTTATTATATTTTTTGGCACTTATAAATGGAACAAGTTTTATGTCCTAATTTGATGTAATTTTATAATACTCTGCTAAAAGAATTGATTTGGGAATGAGGAGTCATTTTGTATTCAAATTCATGCAAATTGCTAAGATCTAATTATTTAGCAGTTTAATCCTAAGTGTGATCAAATAGAGATATATCTCTAGGAAGAGGAGAATTGCAATTAGAGGATGAAAATAA